CTCACGCCAGGCGCTTGTGCGTGCGTGCCCAAGATCCCGAGAGGAGAATGAAGGAGAAGGGATTGCAGCGTGACCATCCCCCCCGGGGGGGGTGATTTCTCGCTTTCTGTCTTTATGTGTCTCTCTGTCTGTCTGGCGAGCGCACGCGCCCTATAGCAAAAACCTCTCCAAAAAGAAAAAAAAAAATTGGAAACTATTGCCCTGAGAAGGATTCTATTAGAATCAAAATCCAAGCTATAGTATGAGAGAAAATATTGGTCAACCACATACCTGAATATCTAGAATACATGTAGAACTATCAACATTAGGATAAAAGGCAGTTAGAAAATAGCAATGCACAATTTTAAAATGGAAATGAAAAGACATACCACCGAAGGAGATATACAGGTGATAAATGAGCACTTGACAAGATGGTCAATATTATCAGACTTAAAGAAAGACAAAATGAGGTATCACTGCCCACCTATCAGAACTTCAACTATTTAGACGCACACGTATTTTATATACTTATGTATAAAATATACTATGCATACATAGTTGGAAGATGTATGTTGGAAGATATTTTTAGATAGAGCTATGAAACACTGAATGTGGTGGGGGATTTAGAGAAACTGAATTACTTACCTTTTGGGAATATAAAATAAAAGTTATAACTTTGGGAAACAATTTGCTGTTTACTTAAAAAGTGAAACAGGTAATTACCACACAACCAATGATTGCTCTCTAAGAAGTCTATCACAGAGAAATAAAAACTTAGTTCACCAAAACAGGCATAAAATGTGAAACAACACAGATGTCCTTCAAGTAAAAATAGTTAAATGATTCATGGTATTTTCTTTTTTTTTTTTTATTCATGGTATTTTCATAACATGAAATCAACTACTGTGATATGAAATAACCTGAATGAATCTCCAGAGAATTATGCTGAGTGACAAAATCCAATCCAAAGAGGTTATATACTGTATTATTCAATTCATATTACATTCTTCGAATGACAAGTTACAGCAATGGAGAACACGGGTGGTCACCAAGGGTTAAGGAGGGCGTGACAGTGGGATGGAAGTGAGTGTGGCTATATAAAGACAACATAAGGATGCATAAAATGATGGAAATTTTTTCCATCTTGATAGTGTCAAAATTCTGGTTGAGGTATTATACCAGAGTTCCACATAATGTTATTAGAGAAAACCGAGAAAAGGATACAGGGTATCTCTGTGATATTTCTCTTTTTCTTGAGAAAGAGGTTTTTGCTACAGGGCATATGAGCACTCAGCAGAGAGACCAAGACAGGGAGAAAGCACCACCTAGGGGGAACGGCCATGCCACAGTGCCCTCTTCTCTATTCTCCTCTCAGGATTTTGGGGCACACATGCACATGTGTGCTCAGCTTAGTTTCAGATCACCAGGTCCAGGACTCTAACTACAGTTGGCCACAAGTGGGTCCAGCACCTTAACCACTAAACAACTTCCTGGCCCCTATCCTGTTTTAATATATCAAAACGTTCCTTTCAGAAAAATTAAGATAATATTTTTATTCTTTTTGTACTTTAAAAAAAAATTTCTTTAATGTATGAAAGAAAAAGAGACAGGAACACCCAGTAGAGTCTTGCCATGCCGCGATCCTCCCCTCCTAGTCTGCGAGAAACATGCATTTGCTGATAGTATGCTTAGTATGAACCCAGGCCTTCTCATATGAGACTTTAAATAGTTTATACAAATTAGGATTAAAGTATGAGTTTATTTTGGTGCAAAAATTTTAAATCCATGTGTAATATTTTTTATAACATACATTTTCATGAAGATTTTGAAGCCTCTCATGTGACTCCAGTATCACAAAGCAGGTACCCCACAACACACACCTGTGCAGCTAGGCTTCCTCATACTTTTGTGTGCTCTAAGACCTCTTAAGTATTCCTTTGGTTCCTCTGAAGATCATATTCAAGTGTTTCTTAATGCCCAAATAATTCAGATCACCTGGAAGTAGTCATTACCCTTCTCCTCCTCACATGAATAATTCAGAACAATAGTAACTGCTATCTTGACAGCTCTAATGTCTTTAACAGGATATATGTAAGGTGAGAAATCATCCCCATATGCCTTCCTCTTCCTCTAGTACAAGACACTTGGAGAGAAAAAGATTTGTCTCCTGACTCTGCTGAGCCACTCCCGCAGTATCCCTACTTGGTGTTGTCTGCTCTAACTGTGCACAATTACAGATCTGACTGCTTTGCTCAGAGCTAAACATTGCCTCCATTCACATCATCCCCTATGACACCGCCAAAACAGGACTACTGATAGAATTACCTTCTACTAAAATTTTAGGATCTTAAATACGCAGCATAAAATATTTTAGGATTTAACATTTAATAAAGAGGAGTTTATAGCACAATACTGAACACGGACAACAGTTTTTAATTGTTATAATCAGGATTTTTTTTTTTTTCAAGAAAGGTTATTACTACGTTGCCCAGGCCAGCTTAAAGCTCATGGTCTTCCTGCTTCAGCCTCCCAAAACACCAGGTTTCAGTGCATGCGTGCTGGTCTCCAGGTTGAAATGGGAATAAACCAGGGTCTCCCAAGTGGTCCTAGCTTGCAAAGTACAACGTTTTAGCAGTATATACCACCATGGATGAGCCAAGGATTCTTAAAAGCTGCTTTAATGGTATAATGGCTATGTCACTGGACTCCCACACAGTTGATGACGGTTCGAGTCCTGGACTCGGCAGCTTAAAACTCATACCACGCACATGTGCATGTGTGCCCTAAATCCTGAGAGAAGAACGGAGGAGAAGGGCATGCAGAGTGGGCAGCCCCGAGGGAATTGGGGCATGACCAGCCCCATGGGGGGGGGGGGGCGAGAGAGGCTGATTTTTTTGGGCTTTCTCTTTCTCTGTCTTTCTATTTCCAGCAAGTTCACATGCCCTATAACAAACATCTCTCTCTGCACTGTTAGTCTTGGAAGATACAGCACTAACTGATATTATCTGGCCTCTGCTTTATCATGATGCTGTCCCTTATCCACTCTCCTGATCTCATCCATCTCCATAAATCTTCTTTCTACTCCAGCTGTCTAGAAAAAGCACTAGATATATTTATTTCTTTATTATACAGTGAACTCTGCTAGAATATATTCAGGGGGCATTAGCTTTCATAGTTCTAGAAGCACTGATCTACACATTTTTCTAGATTAGTTTGTTGTCTGCAAGTAATTCTGATGGCATCTAACTTAAATTCTTGGTCCATTTAAAGGGAACAATTCTTTTAGTTTAAAAATAATAACAATTAGCATTCTCTGAGACAAAAAAAATAATGCTAGAATTACCACTTGTAACAATTAGCATTCTCTGAGACAAAAAAAATGCTAGAATTAGCATTTAAGAAACTCTTTTGAAGAGTATGTCCCAATAAGCCTGTCAGATAAAAATCCTATTTCCCAAACTTTTAATATCAGGAAATTCCCAATTTTGACAATTTTTCTGGTCTAGAGGATAGCCAGGATTTAAACCTAGGGTTTTTGTTTGTTTGTTTTATTTTTCCCTATAGACCCTACAGACTTAATATAAGAACTTGCTGTGTACACACCTGGATTCCTTTGAAAATTTTATGTTATCTACTGTGACATCTAGAATAGTGTCCCACCTCCAAGATCTCCAAGATGTCTACATTCCAATCTCAGGAACCTATGAATATCTTAAGTTACATGACAAAGAAGAATTAAAATTATAGGTCAAATTAAAGTTGCTAGTCAACTGACTTTTAAAATAGAGATAACCCTGGATAATTTGGTGGGTCCAATGTAATTATAAGTGTCTTTTAAATGAAGAAGAGGGTAGAGCTGGGGTTAGAGTGAGTCCATGCAAAGAGCCATTACAGGCATTGAAGATAGAGAGAAAACACACACCAATTTAAACAACCTCAAGCAGGACGGGAAGCAAAACATTATTTTCCGTAGAGCTTGCAGAAAGAAAGACAACCCTACTTAGTTAGCCGTTTATGGGACTCTAGCCTTTAGAACTGTTAAGATAATAAATTGTATTGCTTTAACCCCTAAATTTGTGGTAATTTGTTTCAGCAGCAATAAGATACCATATACCTATTTTGACTTCTTATTCTCTTATTTTATTAACTCTAGTTTGAAACTTATTCCACTGGACTGAAAACAAAGCACTATTTAACCCATGGCATTAACATCATCCCTGTTTCACAATTACCCTTTCTTTTGACACTGCCAAATGGCAGACTTCACATTTCTGTTTCTTCTTGACCCTAATGAATTTCAATACCCAGTTGATTTGTTGTTTTATTTTAGACAGAAGAAAACCTAATTTTTCTTGGGAATTTAGGCTTTACAACTTTATTTTAGACAGAAAGAATGAAAAGATATGGCAACAGAGTATCCTTTAGATGTTGGTACCAAGTCTAAAGGAGTTGAAACATGAAATTGAATAGGAATTTTTCTTAGCTAGAAGTCATGCAGATAAAGGAGATGCAGTGGAAGAATGGTCACAGCAGCCAGGGACAGCAATACGGCCAATACATAAAGGGTTCAAAGTGTGAGATCCCTGGGACAGGCAATGCAGATCAGGCAGAGGTGAGCAGGGAGATTGTAAAGGACCATAAAATAAATTGTAAAGGGATGCAAAGGTCTCACTAGGAAATTTGGATTTTTTCTTGAAAGCTATGTGGAATCTGTGAAAAATGTTTATCCAAGTGTAACATGATCATGAGTTTTGAAAATAATGGTGGAGTCAAGGAAGTGAATGGAACTATATAACAAGCTTAGAAAGAGGGACTGAATTAAGAGGCTTTTTATTACATTAGGGAAAGGTCAACAGTAGCTAGAATATGTGCAGGATGCAAATGATACAAAATATTAGAGCAATTTGAAAGACATCCAGAAAGTTGAGGCCAGCTGTGGTAGCAGAGAGGAAATGCAATGCTCTGTAATGTTGAAGCCATGTGGGGAAGTCCCTAGTTTGTGCACTGAGATTTTCCCATACCTTGCACACTCATGCATGTCCATATTCCTGGCTGGCTGAGGCTGGGAGAAGACCACATGGTAAAGACCTTTTGGGGTGCCTGTCTCTCTCTGAAAAAATAAAGTAAAAAAAAAAGAAAATAGAATCAACAGTACATTCTGACTAATTAAATGTGGCTTTGAGAAAAAAAAATTATGAAGTTGGCTTATGTAACAAGGTACATTGTGAGTATTCACCCATCTGGGAAATACGGAAGATTTGAGACAGAAGATGTGGTGATAGGTTTGTGTTGAGTTTCGTGACTTTGAATCATTTTGTTGGAAATGCCAGCCCCTATCACTGTCTCTTGGGTTTCTACTCTATGTTCTTGCTGAACATCTGTCAGTGGTTTTCCAGGCCTACTTTTTTGCAAGTTGATAAATGATCTAAGTCTCTCCTTGGCTTGTGTTGTGCCAGCCTCTGCCAAGTAATCTATGATCATGTGCAGACCTCTTTCATTAATTTAAGTCTACTTGTATGGTTTGTTAGTGTATTAACAAAATAATTAAACATTGGGACATCACAAAGACATGGTGAGAAACCACATGCAGACCAGATATTTAATAAAGAAGTTGTGGCACAAATGAAAGTTTAGGAAATAACAGAACGACACCACAGAAGCTGATATAATAGAGAGGGACATTACAAAGCCTGCAAGAGGTCCATATGACATCTAGGACAGTTTATGAAAAGATTTCATTGACTGCTTCAATATTCTAGTTGTACCAAAACAAAACTGTGAGTGATTTGATATCAGATCAATGACTGTAGAACTGTTGATCTGCTGTGCCATGTAGTACATTGAATAGGGCAATCGCTTGCAAATATTTTTAAGTGCATTTATACATTTCTTCCATGAGAGGAAGAGAAAGACAAAAGCTTGCACGACAGAAGCCAAAGAGAGACTTAGATCATTTATCAGCATGCAAAAGTAACAACAGATGTTCAACAGGAACATAGAGTAGAAACCCAAGAGTGATAGGGACTGACATTTCCAACAAAATGAGGGTCTTCCTGGCACCATCCAAATCCTGTCTCAGCTAGCCTGTATCACAAGCATATGTATGTGTGCTTAGAGGCTCCAGGGAAGCCTCAGGGTAGGAACCCAGGAACTTCCCACAGGAGTCCAGCTTTGCAGAATGCAATACGAGTGCTGTGCCACCTGCTGGCTCAAGATTTCTAAAAAAAAGAACCAATTACTTGTAGTATTAAAATCTTATTGGTGGGGATCATAGCATGATGAGACTCTGTCAGGGGTGTCCCCCCCAAAAAAAATTAGTAAACCTTTAAAAATAAATCTATTGTTACTATTTGTGGAGGATTACCTACTAATATCTAGCACTATGGCAAGTGTGGTAGGTGAAGTAAACAAAATATGAGGGATCCCTGGTCTCAGGAAACTTACATATTTACTAGGAGAAGCAAAGTTAGCCAACACAGGAAACCATTAAAACCACAAATAACTAAATAAAATCTATGATCTGTATTGACCAAATATCTTGTACATTAAACACTCAATAAATCCCAGCTACATTTACTATAATATTTTGTTTTATTATGTTACTTCTCAAGAGTAAAATATTATTTACTTAATGGAAATGCTACAAGTACTTGAAAAACATAAACCTCCTGTACATTACTTGAGCATTTCTAAAAGTGAAGACTATGTGCTGTTTAGCTTACAAAGTAGGGAAAAAGGCACATGTATTAATTCATGACTGTTACATTTATAACATGAAATTTTTGTGTACTTCAGAAATATCCTGTAATAAATGGAAACATATACTTAAGCCAACATGGTATTAATTTGTGTTTGTAGGCCTTTGCAGCTCTGCCTATGTAAATAGTCCCTTCAAGGGGAAAAGACAGATATTTTAAAGTCCAGGAGAGCGTGTTCTCTGCTCTGCAGAGTAAACTCTGTGAATGCCTCAAAAAAAGATTGATTTTTGATGTAAAGGCACATTTAATCATAGATTTGAAAGTTTGAAAAGTGTCTGTGAAGGTCTGGCTCTCAGTGGATTGGAAATCTATTAGTGTATAGCCAGGAGGTCACTGAATAGCAGAAATAAGACTTTTCAAGTGTTCTGATGCGAAATCTTATGGAACATAGTAAAGTACTACATTTCTAAAAGTATAGCACTGAAGCTCCTTCAAAAGAAATGAGTAACAAAACAAATTCTCATGAGTGCATTGTTTCTGTCATGTTGTCTCCATATTATAGTAAAAAGTTAACCAACCTTAGCACTGTTCACAAATCTGTAACTTATAAAAACACTACCATTTTGGGAAAAAATCAGTAGCTTTGGCCAAAATAGTCAGTAATTCTAGATTCTTCTGAATATAGTAGGAAATATGAAGTGTGTGCTTTGATGTCTATAATTTAATAAAGTTGGATTTCTCTATATTTGTAGTATATTAATAAGTAGTGTTCATAATGTTGTCCTACCAGCCCACGTGACAGAGTAATTCCTTTTTTGTGTTATCTCAATTCATTCATAACTGATCATTTCTTTTTTTAAGGTATTTTATTTTTTATGTATTTTTTAATTTCAAAAAAAGCAGTTTTAGCTTTAATAAATCAAAATTAAAAAAACATTAAGGAAAAGTTGCTTAAGACATAAAGCCAGGGAAAAGGTTAAGATTCTGTCCAAACAGTAGATAGGTACTTAAAACTAGAAAAAGATATAGACAAAGCTAAAATCGACCAATAAGTGCACCATATGCACTACTTATTAATATACTACAATAGTTTTTTTCTGAAACTTTTTTCTCTCTCCATTCCTTCTTTTACCAAAGAAAGGCATAAACTAACTTATTTGCAAAAATAATAATAATAATAATAATAAATTTAGTCTCAATTTGGTCTGTTATTTGCACAAAACCTCATAAGAATACTAATTGATTTAGTTGGCTCTACTGGAACCTTTTATAAGATCATTTTGGTGTCATTTCTTTTTGGTTTGATAACTTTGCCATACATTTCTACTCTGCCACCACAGAAAACTCGTTAAAGTGCAAACCAAATCATGTCACCCACTATTTAAAATCTTTCCATCATTACTGTTACCATCAGGGAATAAGCTATAAGCTGATTGTTTTTTTAAGTGCAGCCAATAAAAAAAAAATAATAATTACCCTATGTATTACTTTTAGGTACTATATAGTCAGAATATATTTATTCATAGTTTTCATCCAAATTCAAAAAAGTTTAGCTTGCTTATGACAATATATTTTATAGGGGCTGTGGAAATAAAGACAGAAGAAAAGATAAGAAAGCACAAATAAGAGAAAGGAGGGGGGGAGTTTTGCTTATTTTTCAGTCAGTGAACCCTGCCTCTTTCCTCCCTATTTCTCCTATCCTGGGCATTACCATGAGTGCTATAAGTGGACATTTTTCCCCCTCTCATTTTCCTAATTTTTATCTCTAGAACTGGCATTTTTTGAACTGCAACCATGGCTGTTTACCTTTATTTTCCTCTGTGCCAGCTCCTTCCTTTTAAAACTTCAGGTCCACACTTCTCCACAAATGTGTGAATAACATGTCAGTACTCTCCACAGATCCTGTTACTGCTTCAATCTCCCTCCTCTCAGTCACTAGAACTCACAAGGTCAGAAAAACAGTTTAATATTTTCAAGGTGGAATTGAGAATGTTTTTGTTAATAAATTTCATGCACTCTACTTACGATACTTTGCTGTTTTAAGGTCACCATCCTGCCTGCCAGAGCAAGTTGTGATTCTTTTTTTCTCACTGATTTCAACATCGGCTTTCACAGTTTCATTTTTCATATCTTGTAGTTTGGCTTTGTATCTGAGACTGCCAATTGTCTCCAAATTTTTATTTCTATTTCTAATATACAGTCATCACTTCTTTGTTTGGAAAGTTCATTTATTTTATTTCCAGAGAGAGGGGAGAGAGGAGAGAGAGAGAGAGAGAGAGGGAAAGAAACAGGCACCATAAATGAAGTCTCATCGTGTCATAAGCTTCCCCCAACCTTTCAGGCAACCAGGCTCACAGGCACAGAGTCCCCCACCTCCACCCCTCACAGCGTGTTTCAGTTTGACTTTGGATCTGAACCATGGTCTTCCTTGTGGCTCCAGCATTACAGAATGGTGCCCTACCACCTGGACCACCATGGGTTGAGCCTATTTCTTCTATTTAATAAAGAACTCCATTAGATTTATCACAACATGACTCGCCTGTCAGAGAATAAATATTTCATCCTTTTTTGAAACGATTCTTTTCTTTCATCATTCTCTCATGTGCCATTTGACTAAGTTCTAGCCAATGAGCTGAGAATGTAAAAGCTGTTGTACTTCCTTCTCAGCGGTTCACCTTCAGATTCTTCTTCCTTTGTTTTGCAGACTGATTCTTGGACATGCTGATGGCATGACAGTTTGGATATTTTCGATGGGGAGAACACCCTAGGGGACGCAGAGGAAAAAGATAAACAATATAAATATTTGTGAGTTTATTTCAGGTCTCTTATAAAATCAGCTCTGCCTATCCTCATCCAAACTAACAATACACTCCTCTGTCCAAACATGATTTCCCTTTTATCTCAACTCCAGATGTTTTAGTAATCTCTATATTATTGGCGTGAATGCTTTCCACACTCTGTAATTCTAGACTAACTTGCCTCTCTCAGCACAACTTGGCATATTAGGGGACATATTAAGAGAAGGAGTAGTCATGGAGGAACAAGTAAACATCTGTTTGTAGACAGAGGAAGGGATTATTATCAGGGTCATATATAAATGAAAAGTCAAATAAAAAACGTACCTGTCATAGAAAGGTTTTAGATGGATGCAAAAATTTCTCAAAAACTTCTCAAAAAAATAAAAAGATAACTAGTGACAAAATTATGATAAATAGTTTAAGTTTTTTTCCAAAACTCTAAGATGATACATTTAAAACAATGTTTCCATTGTTATAAAATGTGTTTACATACATATATATGTATATGTATTTATATGTGTGTGTGTATATATATATGGCCACACTGCAATCCCTTCTCCTCCATTCTCCTGTCGGGATCTTGGGCATGCACACACATGCGTCCGGTGTGAATTTTAAGCCACCGGTTCCGGGATGCGAACCGCAGTCGACCACATGGGAGTCCAGCGACATAGCCATTATGCTAACTGCTGGTCCCTCTCATATATATACATTTTTTCTTAGTCCTGTCAAGGACATACTAAAACATTTTATCCATTTTAGTTTAATATAAAGTAAGTAATAATATATATATCAAATCTGTAAATGGTATGGTCAATTATCTTAAATTACTGAAATTATTATGATAGATATTATTTTATAAACTCTAACTTTATGTTAATGAGGCTGTAATATTCTTTCCTATTGCCTTTGATTATTATGGCTTTCATTTATGAAATGTCACTTTTGATTAAAAATTAGCTTAAGATATGTTTTCTATGTTACTAATACTGTTGTTCTTGATGTTTTAAAATCTTACTTGTGAAAATTTGCCTAGTTTCCGGGTCACTTTTTATTTACTTATTTATTCATTCCCTCAAATAATATTTACTCTTGTGTCAATGCTTGTGTCTCATACTAAAGTTATAATGGTATCTAAGATAGACCACAGGATTTATAAATAGATGATTATACTAGAACTAATAGGTAGATAATGGGAAAATGTGTGTGCTTTGAGAACATGGCTCTATACTAGAAGTGGATGACTTGAAAAACTTTCTAGAATTGGATCAAGCGGAAGAAGTCTGTATTCAGATAGGTAAGTAATAGAATAAACCAATAACACCAGACTTTTTTTTTTTTTTTTTTTTTAAGATTTTTGCCATAGGGCACATGTGCCTGCCAGGTTGCAGACAGAGACAGTGAGAGGGAAAGTAAGAAATCAACTCCCAACAGGAGGTGGGCGGGCCCCATTTTTTTTTCTTTTTTTTTGCCTCCATTCTCTTCCCAAGATTCTGATTGCTCACACACAGGCACTACTGTCTTGCCAGATCCAGGACTCAAACCACAGTCAGTCACGTGTGAGTCCAGTGCCTTAACAACCACACCACCTGCTGGTCCCTCCCCAGGCAGCTTCATGACCATTTATATTGTGTTAAGAATGACAAAATCATGCATCATGGTCTTTCTGTTTAATCTTTGTGAATATGTTACCCTGATGTTCTGGCATTTGGTGTTACAGCATCTTGTATCCTGTTTTTTCTGTGATTGAAACATTCTTTATGCGATTTTTTTTAGTGTGAATTTTCATTAACTTGCTTGAAAAGTGATTAGCCTCTCAATTTCAAACTACAATTTATTTTTTAAAAACAAGATGATTTTTTTAGAATTCTTCATTTGATTATTGTTTATGCTCTATTTCTTCTGCTTTCTTTTTTTTGGAGGGGGGGGAGAGGTTTTTTTCGCTATAGGGCGCGTGCACTTGCCAGAAAGACAGAGAGAGACATAGAGACAGAAAGCGAGAAATCACCCCTCAGGGGGGACGGTCACGCCGCAATCCCTTCTCCTCCATTCTCCTCTTCGGATCTTGGGCATGCACACACACGCGCCTGGCATGAGTCTTAACCCACTGGGTCCGGGATACGAACTGTGGTCGACTACGTGGGAGTCCAGCGACACAGCCATTACACTAACTGCTGGTTACCTTTCTTCTGCTTTCTTTTTTTACATAAAACCCTGGATTTTTCTTTTACTTGCTTTTTTTTTTTTTTTTTTTTTGTTTTTGTCTGTATATGCTCTGTGCCTTGTATCTGGATCTTCTGATTTCTTCTTGGTTTTCTCCTACAAATCGCTAATTAAATTTTGTGATGGTAGGTCTTTTAATTATTGATTTAAACTAAAATGCTTGTTTTTTAGTTCATTAATTGTGTTGCTTATCAGTTTTCTACAAAGTTGTCATCCATTTCTATTTCATAGTGGCAATTTTTACCGATTTGTTCTTTTATTCTTTAAGGAGAATGAGAATTTTACTGAGTCAGACACTGTTTCCTGTATCAGAACACTTTCTCATGTGTCTCTTATTGTTCTTTTGGTTAATTATTTTATTTTACTTTTTTTATAAATCATCCTACATTTTACCTAGTTTCACAGTTATAAAGTGCTCTGGATCTCATCATAAATTATTATAATTCTCTACCCAAATCTTTCATAGAGGATTCCACCAAATTGCATACTTCAGTCAGCCTCCTGAACATCTTAATGGAGTGTTTTACTTTTCCTGTAAATTAATATGTCCTAACTACACTAAGAATCATCTTCATCCTCTTCTGAACTCATACAACAATTGTGCTATCATTCTGCCAATCATCCAGCATCAATCAGAGGATTTCTGCTCTTCCTTTTTTGATCCTTTGTAAAGGCTTAGAGTTCCCAGCTCCACAGTGATTAATATGATGGTTCCTTTCCATTTATGCTGTTTCTTCTTATGTCATACATTTATTACTTTAATAACTACTCTCTTGACATGGTCCTATTTCAAAGCAACCTATGTCATATTGTCAAATTATCCTTTTAAAAGCTCAATTCCAATAACTCTTTTCTTCGGAAGCTTTGAATAAGTCTTTTTTGCTTGTTGAATTAAGTACACTCTCCTCCCATGGCATTCAAGACTTGTCACAATATCGTCTAATACTGAGCCAACCTCCATTTACAAAATTACTATCTGGGACCATCAGGTGGTGTAATGGTTACATTGCTGGACTCCCTCATGGCCTAAGCTTTTCTAGTCCCCAAACCTAGTGGTTTAAAACTCTCACTGGGCATGTGTATGACTGTGCCCAAGATCCTGAGAGGTGAATGAAGGAGAAAGGATTGTAGTATGGCTAACCCCCCTTGCTTTCTGTCTCTCTGTCTCTCCAGCGAGTGCATGTGACCTATGGGGAAAAATAACTCTTTTTTTAAAAAAATTACTCTCCACTATCCAGTGCATATGGTAGTCTAGATGGACTCACTGGTCTGCAAACATATCTGTGGCTGCCCACTTATATAGCCCTATAAGGTGCTCCCTTCTCAGTTCATTTTAGCACTACAAATATATATTAAGCTTCTACTTGACATTATTCTAATGAGCCAATAATACCTAGTTATTATGAGTAAAAACATAAGTACAATATATCTCTTCAATTATAGGTGACTCTGATACATACAGCTCATAATACAATGTGATAATAAGCCAGCTGAAATATATGAAATACCATAAGATTACAGTGTAGAACATTAAGACTTCTGATCAAGATAGGCACCATAGAAAAAGTAACTTCAGAACAGTGACATAAAAGATAAATTGAAGTTTCCTGTCCACAGCGGAGTGAAGTGGTATTCCATGAAGTGGACAAAACATAGGGAAGGTAAAATAAATACAAAAAAAATGATATATTCTAAAAAATATACTCTGGCATATTCATCTGTGATGTACATGTAACAACATCAAGAACATGACCTGAAAAATAGTAAGTAATTCAAAGGTATTTTTTGGATAAATGAATGGAAGACTCTTAGACTTGGAATAAATGCAAATGCATGATGAAAATCAAAAGAGAGTTGGGGCCTGGCTGTGGCATAGTGGTTAAGAGAGCTGGATTCCACATGATGACTGTGTGGTTTGAATTTTGAACTCTGAAGTTTAAAAAATACAGTGGGCTCATGTGTGTGCATGCCTAAAATCCCAAGAAGAGAAGAGAATGGAGTAGAATAGTTTTCAGCATGATCATCCCCCAAGGGGTGCTTATCACTTTCTCTCCCTCCCTCTCTCTGTCTCTCCCTCCCTCCCTTCCTCCCTCCTGTGAGTACATAAAGTTAATGTAAAAAATAAAAAGCAGTGCTAGAAAGCAAGAAAGAAGATACATTGTGAATGTGTACATGCTAATTCAGGAGTTTATATTTTATCTATATCTATATCTAAAATGAAAGTTGGAGGCAAAATTTCAGTAAAATAGATAGCATACAAATAGAATACTGAATCAATCAGGCATGCCATCCCATAAGACTTTACAACTGTAAAGTGGCCATAAGCTAGATTACAACTCATAAGGTCTCAAAAGATTATCATGAGCATACAAGGTTTATTAAGTGGAAACTGAGATATTATTTAGAAGCAAGTTGTTATGTGAATCTTAGCTCTACCTATAGCACAGTTGTGAGTGCTTTTCTGTCATCTCAGTTCAAAGATAAGAGTTTTACAACCACTCTAATATTTTAATAGGCACTTTCTGCAACTTGAAGGGAGGGTAGACTGAGTAGGCATATAGTTTTTTTCCTACTTTAAAAATTCTAAAAGCAGGGAACCAGCAGTTAGTATAATGGCTATGTCACTGGATTCCCACATAGTTGACCGCGGTTCGTGTCCCGGACCTGGTGGCTTAGAACTCATGCCGGGTGCGTGTGTGCCCAAAATCCCGAGAGGAGAATGGAGAAGGGATTGTGGTGTGACCATCCCCCCTGGGGGGTGATTTCTTGCTTTCTGTCTCTATGTCTCTCTCTGTCTGTCCTATAGCGAAAACCTCTCAAAAAAAATTTCTAAAAGCAGAAAAATAGCTGAATAGACATTAAAACATCTAGAGCAAAGAAGCTCTTCTTATGGTGGCATAGAATGCTTGGATGATTTAATCTTTACTGCACACCCCAAGTATGTTAGGAATTAAGGAAGTCTAGGGGTATTATCTTAGGTCCACTGTAAAGAGTTGCCTATAAGAACAAGTAGAATCAATTTGTGAGATTTTCATGGGCTAAGGAAGGAGGATGTCGACCTTCTGTAATAGAGATGCTTTTGTCTGGGTTTGTGAAATAGAAGCTGAGTGATCTTCGATGATGAAGCAATCTCTTGGGAGTCCATAAAAGCACTTACGAGACAGAGTCCTACTTTTGACCTCTGCCAGATTCACTTTCTACTTCCTACCAATGTAAGAAATTGAGTCAGGTAAAGTCTATTCTGTCCTCCATTCTCCAGTGCCTTTCCTGAACTCTGACTCTGGAGTGGTCAGATGTTTGTAATGCTGGGAAGAGGAAGTGAGAAACCCAGTTAGCAGATTATACCATAAAATAGAAACATGACTAGCCCACTTTTACCTGAAGGCACACTCATCCCCTTACCTTACAGTGAGCTCCCTCTCCTTCATTCCCCATCTTCTGGTGGATCTGATGAGTGGGAGAAAAGGACAAGTCTCAGTGTTAAATCATGTTGAACTTAGTATTTCATTTATGGAACTAAGACAGGAACTCTGATTTAAAGTGACTGTTGCCTGAGAATGATCAAAAGAATCATGACATTGACTGAGTTTTTAATCAGGTAGAAAGAAAACAATAAAATACATTAAGGAACAATGGGAGACTAAAATAAATTTGCATCATGATTTTATCTCATGAGTCACATTTATCCACTCTATCAGTTACATAAAGAAATTATATGAATTTATCTGTGTTTGAAAAATGTGCTCTGCATGCTAAAAGAGTAATAACCTGAAGTGAGACAGATGAGTCAGGGAGAACTTCCCTTTCTGTCAAAGTTCTTTTTTAGCTTCATGGTACTCATATATTTTGCCAATCTTGATTTTCTTCTACTGTCTTTACCTTCCAATTAAAGCTAATCACTCATTAATTAAATTAGTTGATGTTTATTGAGCACCCACTATGTGTTAGACATTGTTAGCATGCATGGAATATATTAGTATGTGAAACAGGTAAAAATTCTTATCAATGTGGGGTTTATATTCTAGCCAAAAGAGATTAACAGGAAGTAATACACGTGACACCTGAATAACTTTCACAGTACTCTAGAAGATAGTGCTAAGTGCAATGGGGTAGAGAAATCAATATCTCAGGTAAGGATCTCATATCAAGCCTTCCTTAGAAGACAAGATTGAAGAAAATTCCAGAAGGTGTGAAGGAATTAGCTATGTAGAATCTGGATAAAAGAGTTGATTGCAGTGACCAACAGATAGTGTAATGGTTACATCGCTGAACTCCCACATAGTCCACCATGGTTTGAGTAATGGACCCAGTGGCTTAAAACTCATGCTGGGTACATGTGCATATGTGCCCAAAATCCCAAGAGGAGAATGAAGGGAGAATGGAGGAGAAGGGATTGTGGCATGGCCACCCCCCCTCTCTGGGGGTGATTTCCTGCTTTCTTTTTCTTCTGTCTCTCTAGTAAGCATATAAGCCCTATAGCAAAAATCTAAAACAAAACAAAACAAAACAAAACAAAACAAAAAACAGCCAATTCCAAAGCCTTAATATGAGCTGGTGATTGGTGTGCTTTATGAAATACCAAGTTATCTGTTGTGGCTGAACAGAGTGAGTTAGGGGTTATCATAGTGGGAGATGAGGTCAAAGATGTAAGAGCATCCATTTGTGTAGGGCCATGAAGGTCAGTACAAGGATTTTGACATTTGTATTGAGTGAGGCAGAAAGCCATTAGAAGGTTTAAGCTGCCTCGTATTGTAAAAGAATCATTCCTGTGCTCTTCTGTAGCTTTTTTAAAAAAAGTTCATAGAACACTTATCATACTTTGATTTTGAAAGGTGGTTATTTGTATATAAGTATCGTCCTATAAAGTATAAACTCACATAGGACCTAGTCTATGTCTTACTCGACTTTGCATCACTGGTAGTGAATAACTAGTACTTTACATATAAGTGATACTCAACATATTTGTCAAAATAATGGTTTTATACTCCCTTAGGAAAGTAATATTGATGTCTGATATTCAAAAAATATTCCCTCAGCTAGAATATCTGATTGTTTCAGAGAGATTATTTTCTTATGCCAAATGGCATAAAATTGACTATACACTTGCTTTTTCTAAATATTTGACTATGGTGTAGAAATCAGGTTATTCTACTGTATCCAGTTACTCTCTCTAACAGAAAACTGTTTCTTTCAGGTCTTGAATCACGACTAGAGCTGATTTTTTTTTTAATCATCTCGCTTCTTTCTTTATTGTCTGGGTTCCCTTTAGACCCTGACCTGCCTGTCATGGACACCTTTGAATACCTATTGTCCAATATACTGTTTGATGCATTGTAAATACTCCTAGAAATTTATTCAATGAATGCATGAAAAGAACATTTCCCATTATTATACCACTCCTTATAACTATAAAGGATCATCTCATTGAATCTAAATCATTCAAGTTTATTTCTGTGTCACATGGTTACAGTCAAACTTATGCCATAAATCATGGCCATTTTCATTACCGTGAAAAAAAGTATAATGAAGGGGGAAAATATAGAAGATATAAGGGAAATAAAGGGGAAGAGGAGATAAAACATGGAGAAAAAGAGAGGAAGAGATGGGAGGAGGGGGAAAAGGAGGGAGGGAGAGAGGGAAGGAAGGAAAGGAAGAAGGAAGGAAAGTAGGAAAGAAAATAGAGAAAAAGGAAGAACTCTTAGTTGCTGCTGAGGTTACTTTTCTGCTACATCCCTCTAAGGTCTCTAACTTATTCTCTGCACACAATTCATTCTGTATTCATTTTTACTTCATTGTTTTTTCCCCCCATAGGGCACATTAGCTCGCCAGAGAGAGAAAGAGCCGCTAAGAGAGAAAGTGAGAAATCTCCCCCCAGAGGAGATGAACATGTTGCAATTTATTCTCCTCCATTCATCTCCTGGGATCCTAGGCACATGCACACATGTGCCTCACATGATTTTTAAGTCTCCAGGTCCAGGACTCCAACTGTGGTGGACCATGGGGGATTCTAGCACCTTAACCACTATACCACCTGCTGACCCCACACCTCACTCTTTTTAATGTTTAAGCACATGAATAGTGTGTTATGAAATAATACTTTCTGACTTGCTTGACATTGAGGTATAAAAAAAATCCATTTCTCAGTGGGATTTTTATTCTGTAATAAAGAATAAAAAAGCATTGCTGCCTGTCAAGAAACTGGTGAGATTTACCTAGCCTCTTTTACATATTAGGCAGTAAGCATGCAGAACATAATGGCCAAGAACCTAGTGATTAATCTACCTGACGGTGGAAATCAACTCCAGTGAATTCACTTTTTTGTAGAGTGCTTCCAGATCAGAACTTAATAGGCATTTTCTGTGTTTTCTTTCAGTCAACCTGCTGTGTGCAAGATGAATGCAGACTTACATAGATTCATATATCATTTGGAATGCTCTAATCCAGGGAGGCCCAAATTTAAGATCTGAACAATTCAGATTCCTATGAATTTATAGATAGGAATGGAAAGGCACTGCATCAGAGAAGATAAAAGACATACTTCACGAAATCAGGTATTCAAGGCCACTGACCATCAAAAGTCCTTACATAAAAGCAAGGCACTGTGGCCACTTCTGTTACAATGGCAATAAAAAATACAGGATTTCCATAAACATCAAAGAACTGAAATCTTATCTTGCCAACATCTTACACAATCTTGTAAGGTATCAAAAACATGATATCTATGGTTCTTTATCAGATCTCACATGATAAATATAGCATCAGCTTTGTCCAGAATGTAAGGAAGGAATCCTGACACAGTGCAGAAGGAGGTAGTACTACAGAGGTCAACAGACCTGCTTTTTCCAAATCAAGATGTAATTCAGCCTGTAAGAACTCACTTATCCAGATATAAATTATTAGTTTTTTGTGGGGTGTTTGCCATAAAATGTAGTACATTTTATTTTGGATAATCATAAATAGATAAGGAGGAGGAAAAAAAACAACGTACCTTGAAAGAGCATACCTTGAGCAATCAGAGGTTCTTATACAGAGCTAATTCTTAAATTCTATCCATAGATCAGAAATCCCACTATCACCTCTCTCCAGTACAAAGTGACCTACAGAAAAGACAAGTTTTATTTTATTTAGTTTTTAATTAAAATTTCTTTTATACATTTTATCATATATGTCACTTAGCTATTTTTATTCATTGGCTCTTTTATGTGTGCATTAGAAGTTTAAAAGATGAAAATAACAAAGTGATCCTGTTCTGAGGCTTTCTCAGTAATTTTGTTGGTGCTAGTCAACTATTTCTTTTCATTATACTTTTCAATTACTGCAAGAAATAGGCTAAATGACTTATGTCTGTATATTCTTTAAACTTTGTTACACAACAATGACCTGACCATATTGGCCTTATTAAGATAGTAGCTTCTTGGGGTTGGCAGGTGGCATGGTGGTTAAGGGGATAGACTCCCAGATGGCCAACCATGGTTCAAGTCCCAGACCTGGGGGGGTGTTTTGGCACGACCTGGTGGGTTGTTTTCTCACTCCTACCTCCACTCTGATCAAATTTTAAAAAATAACAATAGTGATAAATAAAATTAAATAAATCTTTTTTTTTTAGAAAAGATAGTAGCTTCATTTTTATGTCTTGTTACTGTATCAATCATGGAATCAAAAAGTTCTCACCAGTTAGGGCAGTACTCCCCATTCTTTCCAACACTAGGGACTGGCCTTATGGAAGATAATCCCTCCACAGATGGGAACAGATGTTGATTCCACATGACCTAAGTATACCACGTCCATTGTGCACCCCATTTCCACCACTACTACATTGCAATATACAGTGAAACAGTCTAACAACAATAGAATTTGGGCTCCCATAAGAATCTAATACCACTGTTGATCCAACAGGAAATGGAACCCAGGCAGCAATGAGAGTGAGGGGGAGTGGCTGCAAACACAGATGAAAGTTCATTCATTCACTCACTGCCCAGTGCTGTTGTGTGGTCTGGCAGACTGTCTCTGGACTGTTGCCCAGCCCCCTACAGGGCACGGATCAGCACCAGTCTCTGGCTCAGGGGAACCCTGATTTAGGGTACTTCTCCTGGAACCAGGCAGGACTGAGGACCTGAGCTTCAGGACTGAGTTCAAACTCTGACATATTTAAATATTCTTTGTTGGTTTGCATTCAATAAATCATTAAGTTTTCTTAGCATCTGCTTTATCATCTCTAAAATGAGGATAAAAATATATATTTAAAGCTCATTATAAACATTAAAAAGAAAGTAAATGTGAAAGACTTTTATAAATTCTTTTTTTAAAAATCTGCATACATATAAGGTAATATTACTATTACCAATTGGCCAAAACTTAAGTCCACATTATTTGTAATCACATAGAGGTTTATCTTTTTTTCCCCCTGTTTACTCTAATATCAACCATTTTTATAGTGATTTTAAAAAGTGGCTGTCAAAAAGATGTGTGCAATCCTGGGACCAGCAATTAGCATAATGGCTATGTTGCTGGACTCCCACGTAGTCGACCGCAGTTCCCATCCCAGACCCGGTGGCTTAAACTCACGCCAGGCGCATGTGCGTGCGTGCCCAAAATCCCGAGAGGAGAATGGAGGAGCAGGGATTGTGGCGTGGACATCCCCCCTGGGGGTGATTTCTCACTTTCTATCTCTCTGTCTCTCTCTGTCTGCCTGGTGAGCACACGCGCCCTATAGCAAAAACCTCTCAAAAAAAAAAAAAAAAAAAAAAGATGTGTGCAATCCTAATTCCCAAGAATTGCAAATATGACCTTATTTGGAAAAGAAGTCCTTGTGGATGTAATTATGTTAAGGAACTTGAGATGAAAATATCCTAGATTTAGGTTGGGCTCTAAATTTAGTGACAAATGTCCTAATAAGATAAAAGAAGAGATTGGAAACACCAAAATATGAGAAGAGAAGGAGGTAAGTGAAAGCAGAAACTGGTGTTATGTAGCCCTAAACCAAGGAACACCAGGGATTATCAGCAACCTCCAGAGCTAGAAGAGAGGCGTGAGATGGATTTTCTCTCAGGGCTTCAGAAGAAACCAACTCTGGGCTGGCTGAAGACAAATGATTAAGGAAGCCAGACTCCACATGGCTGGTGTGGTCCAAACCCAGCCCAATGTCTTAAAAAATACACCGTGTATGTTTGCGTGTGTGCACACATCTGCCTCAAATCTTGACAGGATAGAAGAATGCTAGAGAAGGAATTGGGATGTGACCATACCCCACTGGGGAATACTGCCCCCCCCAACCTCACAAGTACATATTCCTTCTAACAAACAAAACAAAAACAAACCAACAAAAAACCTCTAACTACATCTTGAATGTCTAGCCTCCAGAACCATGAGGGAATAAATTTCTGTTGTTTTAAGCTGCCCAGTTTGTGGTCATTAGTTATGCAGCCCTAGGAAAACCAGTACAATTGTAATTGGGACATTGTTAAAACAAGTAGCTTGGACTATTGAGTTTACTGAATACACATCTAGATTCAAAGTTAATGATACTTTAAGAAAAATAACTCTAGAAGGCTATGTGATAATTGAGGGTAAGTGTAGATAGCAGAAACCAGAAGGGAGAGAAGTGGCTGGTAGGGAATGGGCGGTGGAGGGTGGGTAGGAGGGGCAAAGGGAAGGAACATTTAAAAGACAAAAGCATGTAACATTTTCTGGTTTTTTTTTTTTTTTAAGGTTCTGTCATTTTTGCTTTATAAAAACAATTTTTAAAAGTCCATCAATCATAAAGGAGAAAAACGTGATTCTATTCATTCTTACAAGTAGCAAAAGTCCATTTTCTTGTCTTAGTTGGAGTGGAAGAAGACAAATCGGATCTTTCTATAGTAGTGATTCTTATTCTTCTAAGTTTTCTCAGTAACTAGTATTGTCACTTAACATTGATGGCATGCTTGACTTGGGGCTGAGCCTCTCCTCCCATATTTTACATACTGCTTCTGAGTTTTCCATCTGATAGATTTATCTGACATCAATCACAGTAGCCTCCTGTCAGCACCTCTGCTACATTACTGCTGTAAAACTCTTATACATACTTTATATCCCATCATTCTCACATGTAAAACAATATTCTAAAAATTCAACTTCCTAGCTTTAGCAGAGACACTTGGGCTCCTGATAGAAAGAACTGTAATTGTCGTGACAACTAGAATGTACATAAGATCGTCATCAACTCCTCAGCCTGAAGACAACCTATACTGATCTGACATTTCATCTCCCTTCCATTACCTCCTCATTTCTTAAACTATTCTGAGAACTACACATGCCAAGTAATATTATGTTCATATTGGTGGCATAGAGAAGTTAAGTGACTCACTGATCGTACGATAACCTGGAACCAGTCAGTTCCCCTCTTTTCTAATCATGGAGTCTTAACTGTGCTATCTTTATACCACTGCACCTCATATAAGACAAGTTATGCTTCACGTATGAGAATAAATTTCCATTTCTGAAACACTCATGCCATCTCAAAGTAATAAGCCCTGTAACTCTAACATAATCATACCTTTATGCCTCTTCTCAAAATCTACCAGTTGGGCCTGCCTACCTTTAATAGATTATTACTGTATATCCTCATATCTCTTTCCTCTTTACTCTTAACTTACTCAGTGATGACTTTTATCTTAACTCGGTTTATTCCCATCCTCTCAACCTCCTTAGTCTTCTCATACATGCCAGGCATATTCTAAAATTGAAGTTAGTGTTTTGGCCATTCCCTCTGTCTGAATCCTTCTTCTAGATAGTCACTTTTCAGTTAATTGTCATCTTCTAAATGAGGCCTTTGTTAATTGACCAATTCTTTTAAAGTCATAGCATCTGGCCCAGCTGCTGAGGTACAGCAATAACACAAGGGCCTTGCAGGGTTGGAAGTGATATGGCCAACCCCCAGTTCAGATCACTAGATTGACTTAAAAACATGCCTAGATGCCTAGAATGTGCACAAGGGCTCAGGATCCTTAGAACCTGGATGTCTGGGTAAAGAGAGAGAAGTGTGTTAAGTACTCTCTTTTGAGAATACTTCTTTCTTGCTCACTCGTTTATACACTATTATAAAATAATTTTAAATGATTATTTATTAAATTTTATTTATTCATTTATTTTTAATTTGACAGAGA